CGTTTTCCTTCCTATTTGGCACTCATCAGCTGGATATACCTACATTCAAGAGTTGAAATTCACTTCGGAACTCCAACCCAATACCATTCGCTTCAAATGTCATCACATTTATCCATTTAACTATTAAGTCCTGACAACCACTTGCTTGTGCAATAAGGTGAAACTTAAATTCACTTGGTGTTGTTTTACTTATATCTTCCCATTGTCATATATGAATTAAAGTGATTTATTTCTTATATTATTGATCATATAAGTTTTTACCCTTAATAGAGCCAATCCTTAACTTTATTGATTTTAGAAATGTATAGAAAGATCATTAATCACAAACCTTTAGGTTTTACTTTTTCTTTAATCTACAAAATTGATTTGTTTGTTTTATACAAGCCTTATTGTTTAGATTGTAACTATATTAAACGATATTAATACTGTTATATCCTAGTGTAGGTTAAATGATGGCTAACTTCTGAGATCTATTAATGGACTAATATGATCTATATATTCTTATGATATAACTATTCAGTAGTTAGATTATATATATATCTATATTCCCCTTGTTATAAACTTTCTTTTGATCTATAGATTACTATTGTACGACTTACTGTTCATAAGTTATACTCAGTTTATTGATTACAGTCCCCTTACATTCACAGCCAGTTTTTAGCTTTATTTCCTATTTTGTAATGCAATGCTGTTTGTTTGATTAGTATATAAATCAAGTATGTTAGAAATAATCTTCGACACTACGGTGTGCCTCAGAAGATAGTCAATATCATACAGAATTCCTATGATGGATTAAACTGCAAAATCGTGCATGGAGGACAGTTGACAAAGTCGTTCGAAGTAAAGACCGGTGTCAGGCAAGGTTGTTTACTGTCACCCTTTCTCTTTCTCCTGGTGATCGACTGGATCATGAAGACATCAACATCTGAAGTGAAGCACGGGATACAGTGGATAGCTAGGATGCAATTGGATGATCTAGACTTCGCAGATGATCTGGCTCTTCTATCGCATACACAACAACAAATGCAGTAGAAGACAACCAGTGTAGCTGCAGCCTCAGCAGCAATAGGTCTCAATATACACAAAGGGAAAAGCAAGATTCTTCGATACAACACAGCATGTAACAATCCAATCACAATCAACGGAGAAGATTTGGAAGATGTAAAAACCATTACATATCTGGGCAGCATCATCGATGAACACGGTGGATCTGATGCAGATGTGAAAGCGTGGATCGGCAAAGTAAGAGCAGCATATTTACAACTGAAGAATATCTGGAACTCAAAACAATTAGCAACCAACACCAAGATCAGAATTTTCAATACAAATGTCAAGATAGTTCTACTGTATGGGGCGGAAACCTGGAAAACTACGAAATCCATCGTCCAAAAGATACAGGTGTTTATTAACAGTTGTCTACGCAAAATACTTCAGATCCGCTGGCCGGACACTATAAGCAACAACCTACTGTGGGAGAGAACAGATCAGATCCCAGTGGAGGAAGAAATCAGGAAGATGTGCTGGAAGTGGATAGGACACACATTGAGGAAAGCACCAAACTGCGTCACAAGACAAGCGCTCACATGGAATCCTCAAGGCCGAAGGAGGAGAGGAAGACCAAAAAATACATTACGCCGAGAAATGGAGATAGATATGATAAAAATGAACAAGAATTGGATGGAACTAGAAAAGAAGGCCTAGGACAGAGTGGGTTGGAGAATGCTGGTCGGCGGCCTATGCTCCATTGGAAGTAACAGGCGTAAGTAAGCAAGTAAGTAATGTTAGAAATAAATGATTCACATAGTGGAAGCTGTTATTGACGTTCTGAACTCAAATGGACAGGCTAGACGAACAAAGGACAAATAAGGATGTTAGGCTGTTTATATCGATCGAACGTCATTGATTTAGCACAGTACTAAGATTGAATAAGTTGTATTTTGATTAGCGGATAAATCACATGATAATTAGCCCTCCTTAATGTCACAACTAATACCTTGCACAATATGTAACTATAAATGAATATCATACTACGGAAATATTCATACATGCAAAATAACTAGTTTAAAACATTTATTTAAGTAGATTCTACAAAACCTTAAATAGTCTGGTAATGTGTATCATCAATTTTATTTGAAGAGTTTTTTTATTGATTAAACTGAAACATCTGATTGCTTTTGCAAAAACTACAAATCTGTACAGGGTATAAGTTGTGTCAAGGAGTTTGTTAAGTGGTTATAGGAAACTGCAATCACTTTGACTAAAGTAAATGTCTTCCACCCTTCACTTCATAACTTTTAAGTTACAACTATCTTTGTATTATCATTTAAGAATTGCAATTTTAGAAACAATACTCTCTTTGGAACAGTGGATACATTTGGTCTTCTTTATATCTTATTCATATGGTTCTTGATGAATTTTGTTAGATAGACATTTCTATTGAGCAGGTTACGAATATTACTCACTTAATCTATAATGGAGTCATTAGAGTTAGGATCTATTTTAAGTTTCTTTTATATCCGATTGGCACAGTACTATAGAAATAAGTATACTGTTCAACTAAAGATTTTCTATGAATCTCTCGTGTTATGTAATTCATTGTAGTTATACTTATCTTAGAACCTAAGTTAATAAAAGATCAATTTACAATGGTTGTTATGTTTCAAATCAGATAGAAATGTACATGATTTACGAGGCCACTAAAGTAAAAGAGACAAGATAAGTCTATTAAAGATAAAACATTTCGTACATTTTGGACAGAATATGTCCTCAAAATGAAATAATTCTAGTAAATAGCTTAAAACCAATTATGTCAATCCATGACGATAAGACAGCGCTTTTATCAAAGTTTCATGATTTTGTAGTAAACACATCATACATATAAGTTATTAAATAAGAGCATTTAATAAAATTTATGAAAGCTTGATTATTTAAACAAATCATCTTAGTTGGGTACAAAGTACTTCCCTTGGTAAAGTTGGTCGACAGAAACTTGGATTTTATGGTCATTGAAAATTATGAATCAAACATAATAAATAACGGAAAACAAACTCTTTTGTTCATACTTCACGATATGAATGACTGTATACGCCTGAATGAAGAACACTAATTCTATAGCAACTAGTAGATGTGATTTTCTTACTATAAACTCCAAATGTTGCTTCAGGGTTGGGCTAACTTAGTTCTTGATGAAGAGTGAGGCAATAAAGTGCGTCGAACGTCTCTTTTATCCTGGGATTTTATTCGGTTCTGATGTCTGTCGAAGTCTTGATCTGGATTTAACTTGGCAGTGTAGACGATGAGCTCGTTTATTATTCAAAGGATGGTTATAATTATAAAATGTCATAATTTATTAAAGGTGAAAACCCAAGTTGCTTATCCAAAAAAATATTAAAACTTTATTAGTTGTTTGAAATTTAATCAAAACTCTAGAAATCTGGTTTGCAGGCTGTTTCCTTAGCTAACTTCCTGAAGTTTATTATACCGTACCTTTTTGCTGAAGAAATCAATTAATTTACTGTTTTTGGTATCTATTACGACTTCTTTTCACATTAAACGTAAATTGCTAGTATTCAAAATATTATGAACTGGTTACTACAAACTACTTCTTCCAGATATTTTGGGCTTGGTTAAGGTCATAGGAATTTGAAATAATGAAAAAATGATGCAAAACAGGACGATTTGAGTTTATTTTGATATGTAACTGAATTAAGGGAAGAAATAAAACCTACATGTTAAAATCACTGATTATTCGGGGATGAAAAGCACTGAGAAAGTCTGCAAATTCTGCCAAAAGAGCTTCACAGACTATTGTCAAAAACTGTGAAGACTCTATGCGTAATTTAAATATGTTCTGCAGCTGTTTTTGTTGGACGCCTAATCTGCTACGTTTCAACTAACGTGTAGAAATGATTAAATATTTGTGTTTGCTTTATCGGTATTGTTTACCAATCTAACAGTGTACTTATGATGACTTTTAAATTACATTTATTAAAAATTTCGAATAAATCAGTCACAGTACAGTAAAACGTTGAGGTTAAATGACTCAATTCCAATACCACGAAAATTCATGCAGATTTTTTTTTAAAAAGCGTCAGGTGAAAACCAGTCTACCTGTGGGTTATGTGACTAAAACAATATAAGCTGGTATAGAGATGGGAAAAACGCAACAGTATAATAGGAAAGCATGTCATTGCTTATGGACAAAACAGAGATTACAGATATTGAGTTTGCAAAATTTGTATAACCGTTGGAAACTATTTAGTCCTGCCGATTCGCAAACCCGAGTCCATGTGACCAACTCCCTCTGAGGTCAAAGTACTAGATCTTTTCTAAACTCTGATAACTTAAACACTATTCAATTTGACAATGATTATAAATTGATATAGTGAGAGATCTTTCATATTAACAAACTACGTGCCTTGTTTTTGAGTAGCAGGTTGATTGTGTACTACTGTATCTTGTGAAGTCTGAATTCTTTGAGCGTGAATACAGTTCCATGAAATTTCATAGAATTTAAAAATAACAGTTCATTTGAAATGGTCACTCATTAGAAGTTTTGCATCAGTTTTAACATTCTTTTCAGATGTTTATTATAAGCAATATGAATAAGATCACGAACACTGAATTTTATAGTCTCGTATCATTTATTATTAAGGCTACTCATGTAATGTTTGTATTACTATTACAGTGGTGACATTGATGAGACAAATTATATGAAGTTCATCAAGCAATTACATGAGCTATGACGCAACAATGCTACTAAGACGAAAGAAAGAGTATATTTAGTGCAAAAATTCAAAAAGTTCAACTTGAAATCCGACTGACTCGTCCTTATACATTATTTACATTCTATTTATTCGAAATTTACCTCGACAATGCTAACAAACCCAGAAATCGTAATATGTGACTTTTATTAATACAAGCGCACTGTTCTTAGTCTCTTAGTTTACTAATTAAAACACTACAAAATATTTAAAATGACAAAAATTGATTGGACTTACTCCCAATCATAGCACAAGCTAACTTGAAGGTTGTTTAGTATGACTAACGGTTGCCAAGGTCAACATCATCTGTACTCATAAGTTCGCCAAAAATACGTCCTTTGAAGTTGTAGGTATCGAATAGAAAAAACAACTCGTAATCTTGTTTCTGAGCTTATAAATATTTGTGCAGTATGCCTGTTTTTTCTAAAAGATAAGAAAAATGAACGTTTTTTTATCCAAACTTGTCATCATGTAATTTGAAGTGATGATTAAGACACATATAATCTCTATGAATTCTTAAAGGGAAAGTTCAGTATAGGCAAGCTCTCTTCCCACCTCAAGAGGCCAATTTATTTAAAGCTTTTTAAACTTGGTTTTATCTACTTGGTGTTCAACGGTGAAATTAAAAGCACTCAAGTTTAAGTTCCCTCTGTGAACCATGGCAGCAGATGACAAATGAATTAATTCAGTTGGGTGGTAGACAGGCTACAGAGCCCGGTAATCAGTTACATTATATAATTTTAAGACAAGCAAATTTTTTTTTATTGCCAATACAATAGCTAAAGCCTACTTTGTGTCTGAAAATATCCTTGTTCAGTTTCATGAGTAGTGCAACTCCGTCATAATAGCTGAGTGTTTAGTGTCTGGTGGTAATCACCACAAACTCTTTGTGTTTTTTCATTATTCTTTAGTGGAATCACAAAAAAGATAACCTAACTGTACGGTTTAAATGAGATTGTTTATGATGTTTAGAAGTATTCGAATTAATATGCTAAGAATTTCAGAAATAATGCTTTTTAGGCCCGGTAGAAATGGGTGGGCACAAACGAACGTATTGTGTTTGGAATTCATAATTAGCTCGTAATCGGGTCCAGACGAATCATCAGATAGCACAAATACCACATTTATATTCCGTTTCCAAACAGTTTACATAGCTCATTATTCACAGCCTATTTTAAACCATATGGGGTGAGACCACGCTTCAAGAAGATGGGCTGTTCCTTTAATTCTGAAAGTACTGTGTGAATTTTCATATCTCTCACAGCCTTCCAGTATTTTAAGGACAGATATCTAACTGAAGCACCTTCAGAAGAATTAGTATATAAAGAAATATGAACGATTGACAATCTTAAGCCAATTAGATCAAGCACAGACGAGCCATAATTGTCAACTAAGAAATAAATATCAAAATAACTCTCCTCTTCCTGCCTCAGTGGAATGTTAACTGTACCAATAATCAGTAACTGGTGACTAGCGATTCAAATGATCTCATTCCTTGTTGACTTTAACTTGACATCATTATAAAGAGACGTTAAATTCCTCCTAAAAATAGTTGGCTTTATACCACTTGATCAGCAGAAAATGAACAGAGTTTACTTGTACTAGCAATTGATTTTTGAATAAACTACGAAGTACTCCTAAAGCCAGTAGTGAGACACAAATAATCCATCTTTTTTTCTAAATCAGTCTTAATCAACCATGATTCAGTGAATTATTAGTGAATGACTTGGATCTCTGAAGAACTTTGCATACATGTCAAACCTTTTCATAGTTACAGTGGCGTGCATAACAAAACTGACATGAACTAAAAAGATGTAGCACATTAGATGAAGGACAGGAATTAACACCTGAAGACAAATGAAAGCACTTTTCAAATTATTTACATGTCTTAATAAAGGTCGGCAATATTCCTGCTAGATGTCCGAGGTTTCTGAAGTTATAATTCTGCAGATATTGTATAAGTTTTACTGCCTCGCTTGAAAATCGAGTAACCTCTTAAGTCATCCAAGAGGTACACATTGATAGTTGATAAAGTGATCATCTTACAAGGGGAGAATACAAATCATTTGATGGAATAAAATCATGATATATCCATGTTTCTCAGTTAAAAAAAGATGTAAATCCCGAATAAACAAGGGAATATATAAACTTCAAGTGAAGTTCTCACAAATGGAGATGATGAAACACTGATCAACGATTCATAATATGGAAGTTGTTTGGAATACCAATATTATATGGGAGAAGATTAAAGTATTTGCAAACTGAAAACCAGTTTTCTTTGTGTATTTCTTTATCATTCAAGTTTCCACCTTATAATTTTTTCAAGTAGGACGTTTTTGTGGGACATCCAACCGTTTTCCAAGGGCATTAAATAGATAACTCAAAATGTATCCGACATTGATTATTTCCTAATGGGGTGAACTTAAATTTTTCTCTTTTAATAAAACATACTGGTAAGCACTTTGTTGGATGGCAAATCAATTGATGAAGTAGTGGAACTTCATCAGTTGAGATGGCTGGGACACGTGTTACGTGTGCCCGACCACCGACTCCCCTGACAAGCGATGTTTTATGGTGTAGGAGTAGGTTAGAAGAAAGCTAGGGGCGACCAGACCAAAACATGGCATAAATCCATGAAGTCACTCACAAGTGGACTGAACCATGTTGGTAGATGTAGACTTCTTGGTCGGGATCCGCGAGATGATAGCAACCGATGATTAGAGAACTTGAATGATATGGCTCAAAATCGTTTGCGGTGCCGCGGGTGCATCCACTTTTTGTGTTCTCCCAAATTCTAATCTTCAGAATTCTTCATGTCCCTTATTTTTTCTCTTTGCGAATTTATTTCACTGTTTTCGCAAGACACCCAACCGTTTTCCAGGAGCATTAAATAGATAATTCAAAATATATCCGACGTTGACTAGTTCCTAATGGGGTGAACTTATATTTTTGTCTTCTAATAAAAAATACTGGTAGGCCCTCTGATAGTTGGCAAATAGATTGATGAAGTAGTGAAATTGCATCAGTTGAGATGGCTGGGACACGTGTTGGGTATCCTGGACGTGCGGTGTTTTATGGTGTAGGAGTAGGTTGGAAGGAAGCTAGGGTTGACCAGATCCATGAAGTCACTGACAAGTGGACTGAGCCATGTTGGTAGTTGTAGACTACCTGGTTGGGATCCGTGAGACGATGGCAACCGATGGTTAGAGAACTTGAATGATATGGCTCAAAATCGTTTGCAAAGGTGCCGGTGTATCCACTCTTTCTGTTCTCCTAAATTCTTATCTTCTGAACTCTTTGTTATGATTTTAATGTCCGGCTTTCGATCTGGTGACTTATCTATCAATCAGAATACGGCTTATACAAATATTCGCACTATGACAAGACCAATGACGTTCAACCGGTCTGAGCAGTCTAGCATCCTTATTGGGTCCTATGTCCTTCTAACCAGTCCGCTTTAGTCCAGAACACAATACCAGCTTCCGTAATATGTATCGAATCATTTATTTCAGACGTACTCGGTTTATATATCAATCAGGCAGACCACAACGTACTATAAAATAGAAAATAACATATGTACACAAGCCAAAAAGTGGCTGTGAACGCGGGAGATAGTAATTAATAGACAGGCTATAACTCAAGAATAATAAATCGTATAGTAATAATCTATGGGTCAACTTAAAGCTTATAATAAGGGAAATATAAATACATATAATGTAATTCTTGAATAATGATACAATAAGAATATTTATAGAATATTAGTCCATTAATAGCCCGCGAAAGTTACTTGTAATTTAATCCTCGCTGGGATATAACACTCATCATGTCCCTTTCTTTTTTATCTTCCCAAATCTATTTCACTGGATTATACTCCTTGAATAACATCTTCAAACCCTAATGTTTCCGATTAATTCTTATACTTTTACTACCTCTACCGCTATGGAATTTGAATTGACAAGTGTGTCTGTGTGCTAACGTGGTATGGCGACTCGAACTGATGTACGTATGTATGTACGAAGTTCTACATTGTTAATGACTGACTGACTCTTTGTTTAACGTGTATTTTAGTTATAAATGAGTAGATTGGTACATTAGTAGGGACGGATTTAAAATACACAACACACGAATTGACGTAAAATAGAATTACTTTCACCTAGTACCTCATATCTTATTGATAGTGGTCATGCGGTAGATAAATCGAAATCCTTTCGAGTGATCTATCGTGTACCTCCATCATTCCCCAAAGGAGTTCGCTCCCATCTCTTACATATAGCTGAAGCCATAGGAATCCGTACATATAACCGCAATCTATGTGTACAGGAGAAATTTGTAACTCCCTTATCTCTTTGTGGTAATTGAATGAACTAATGATTGCTTTGTACTTATTGAATGCTTGATTTCGAATTCTAAATACAGTACATCCGTTCATGCTTATTTAGTAGTTCTTGATCCAATTACGTTATTCCTGGGATTATTGGTTCTTACCATAATTCAAATACTTCTAATTATCATAATAGCGCCGCGATGGGGCACGAGATGGAACAGTTAGATATTCATTCGGATTTTGATGCTTATGAGGATTACTTTGAAAGGTTCGAAATCTGGGCTATGACCAAGGAAGATGATGAAGATGTTAATATTGTAGCACATTTTCTCACATTCATCGGAAAAGAAGCATATAGCTTATTAAAAGTTTTGGCTTTACAGGAAAAGACCATTTCTCTTCCTTATACAACTCTCAAGGAACTACTTCGAGACTATGCTAAGTATACAATTTTCGAATGCGGTAAAGGGAGATTTCGTAAAATAATTCATGAGCATATAAATAATTCCACTACATTACGTCACCCCATCCCAGTGCATACTCAAGGTTATGCAGATAATTCATTGAGGAGTTGCAATGCAGTTCACGAAGATGGGCACACGTTTGGTCAATGTTTATCCTGTGTCAGGTTCCACTCTTTTAATTCATGCAAATTTCATAATTCTAAATGCTTTAAATGTGGTAATATTGGGCATATTCACTCAGTTTGTAATTCTGATCCTAATAAGTTGAGTATTTATAATGACCATTTATCTTTATCAACGATTTCAAAAGACAATTTAGAGTCATATAGCAGTTCAGAGTTAGATGAAACTCAGAATCCTTGCGAGACAACAATTTCTGATGAATCAACCTATCGGATTTCTCATCTTATTGTACCAGATATGATTTTTCCTAATGATTCTCATATTTCTGATGAAATT